AATCTCCACAGTCTTCAAATCATAGCAAACTGGCCTCCAAAAACCCTAAAATCAGCCTAACCTAGCCTAAAACTACCTCAAGCTCAACTAGATCGGACATAAAACCTTCAAAAATGGATTCAGAAGGTCCAAAAAGTCTAAGAACTGGTCTAAACCGGCTAAAAAGGCCTTAAACCAGCCCTGAACTGGCCAAAAATCCTAACCCTAAGCTCTGGTACACTAATCAAGCCCAGTTCACCCTGAACCAGACATCCAAAAATCACCAAACTACACCGTTAACTAGGTCTCATCATGCTGAACCAGGAACGGTTCAACCTCCCCAAGAACCGATCCAAAAACTGGTGAACCGGTCACTCGAAGGACAACACGCTAAACCGGTCGGTTCACCCAGAACTGGCCACCCAAAAATTTTCGAAACCATCTGGTCTGAAAGCCCTCAATCCAATGAACTGGGAACCGGTCCATTTGCTCAGAAAATTGGTCAAAACAGCCTTGAACCGGTTGGTCAAACCCTCGGTCAACCCTGGCCGATTCACCCTTCAAAAACCCTAATTCCATTATTTAATTATTAAATCTCGGAATATCTAATTTCTGCTATCCCCAGACAGTCCTTATCCTTGGTTTGCATTATCCCCGAAATAGCATATTCCCAAAACACCACTGGGTTAACTCACGGGTCAACCTAGTTAATTACTTAGTGGGCTGAGTCAACCTGCGAGTTGACTCAGCACAACCCGACTTGGTGGGCCGGCCCACAGGCCATGACCCAGCCTGGCTAGAATCAGGCCTAAACAGGCCCAGCCTAACCCGCACGAACCCCGTTCCATCCGGGTCCATCGTCCTAACCGGTTCTCGACCCGGAACCTGCACATGGTCTGTAACTTGACTCGGAAAAGCAAAAATCCAAAATCAACCGGAAAACAAACTTACCTCGGCCGATCGAGCAGCCTAGTCCACAACGCCGACCCCTGCGACCCTCACGACAGTGATTAATCAGAGCAAAAATAGCTCAACGACCCCCAAAACTCAAATTTCTCCCCTCGGCCTCCCGCGAACCAGACGACCCATAGAACCTTCAAAGACTCCTCACCCTCTACTTGAAAGTTGAAATTGCTTGAGGGGTTCAATAGATCCCTCAAAAACGCACGCAAAGGTGCAAAGGCCTAAGCCAAATCATTGCACAACGCTGCTAGGTCAGCGAGGAATAGCTTCCGAATGCGGTTCCTGTCAGTTTTTCTGAAATTGAATTTCAGTCCCTCAACTCTGATCTTTCACAAATAAGTCCCTAAGAAAAAAATTTCAAATCACCCCCCTTAAGTTTCAATTTCCTCACTTTGACCCTTACACCATTAAATTCTTAAATTCGGGTTATTGCAAAATATATACATATACACACATACATACACGTGCATCTATATTCATATTTGATAAAGAAAATTAAATAAATAATTTATTTAAATATTTTTTAATAATAATAAATCAAATTTAAAATCAAACTAAACTAAATTGAAATTTTAGGTTTGGTTTGATTTGGTTTATAATTAAATTGATTTGGTTTGATTTTTAAAGTATTAAAACCAAAAAATCAAAAATCAAACCAAATTATCAAAAACCAAATTAAAATTATGGTTTGTATACCCTTAAGTATAATGTATTTCATTTTAACTTTAAATGAAAAAAAAATAGAAAAGTTTTAAATAATAAAAATTAAAATTTTAAAATACTAAATATTTTACGGTTCATCACAGTTCCGGTTTATGGTTCACTTACTGTTCATTTTCACGATTCATTACTAGTTCTAGTTCATAGTTTACGATTCGTACACGGTTCCAGTTCACAATTCATGATTCACTCATGGTTCCAGTTCACTGTTCATTTCCGATTCCGGTTCACCATCAAGTTAAAAAAAAAAAAACTTTAACCTTAACCGGACCACTAACCTTTACGGTTTAGAACCGGATCAGACCGGATATTGCCGGTCAGATCCGGTCTGGTTTCTTTCTGGTTCGGTCCGGGCCGATTCACGATCTGAACCAAAACTGTGAACAGGGCTACCTGTGAGCATCCAGTTGCATTGGATTACACGTCAAACAAGTGCACAATAGACATTTTAGCAATGGCCACACCAGATCCGTGCCCTTGCGCATGTTCACCTTCCTTGAGATTTTCTCTACCGGAATTTTTCCTTCCTCTAGTTCTCTTACCAGCAATTAGTCAATGCCATACAATGCTGATATATAACCAATGACAGAAGGCCCAACTCATGGACCATTGGTTGCCAGCTAGGAGAGACCCCATCTTTGGTCAGTGATTAGAAACCCTATCACGCATAACAGTCTTGTTTTCCAAACTTTGATTTGGCATATAATCATATTATTGTTTTCAAAACTGTTTTTGGAATCATCAGTAGTGCTTCTTAGATGATTCTATGTTTTTCAATTTGTTGAATGTTGAAAGCTAGGGTCTCAATCGCTTGGTTTAACTCAAATTGAAAGCTTTAGGGAATTTTGAACCAAAAAGCTTTGCTCTTGTGAAATCTGGTATATTGATGGAGAAACTACTTGAATTACTTGCCGATTTTTATAGTTTAACTTTGAAATAGTCGCAACTGTGGTTGAATTGCCAATTAATGATTGTTGGAACTTGTTACGCATAAAGGCACAAAAACGACTCTTCCATTCATTCTTTTCTAGTGACAAAAACATTGTGGTAGTGATGCTCAACGGTGAAGACCTAGTTTTCGTCTAACAAGTCAATGCCCCATGGTCTGATTATCGTGGTGCACCAATATTGCTAGAATTAAATGAGGATTTTGAAAACCCTAGTTCTTAGTCAGAATGATGAATACTGAATTCACAGGTCCAATTGGTTGCGGTCTGATAACTAAATAGAATGACATTTTATTATAGGGGTAAAATCAGCAAATATAAATCAACTGTCACATAAAAATCAAATATGACATTGTGATATGCTATATTCTTATAAAGAAATGAAATACACATATATATAAAAAAGGAGATAGATACGAATTAATTATTAGAAATAAATTGATTATGTAATTTATAGTATATATAAAAAATGAAATAAATGAGTATTAATTATTTCAAAGGAATTAATTTATGTGCCAAATAATTGAATAAGGCAATAAATTAAAAAGAATAACATTTTAAAATAAGAATATTAAATAATCTAATAAATTAATAATTTAGAAAATTAATGACATAAAAACCAAATACGACATCATGATATTTGATATTTTGTTATAAAAATAATATGAGTTTATGTGCGTGCCGATATTTTATATTTTATTACAAGTGTATAATGTTATATAATAAATTAATAAATAAATCAATCAATATATAAATATCAAATCTTACACAGTGACATAATTCTGGGTTTAAACCAAATACTCAATAAAACCATTTTCAATATAATGTACCAAATAGTTGAATAATGCAATAAATTAAATAGAAAAGTATGTTATTATAAGAGTATAAAATAAAAAAATAATAAATATCATAAAATGATCTATGATATCTGGATTAAAAAAAAAAGAATATATATGCGTGCGTGTACATACACGTTTTAAATTCCATTTATATAGATAAAAAAAATTAGTTATTAGAAAAGAATTATTTGCATGAATTTATAGTATAAATGGAAAAACGAAATGAATTTGGTATAATTATTTGAAAGCACTTAAGATAACGTCAAATTATTAAATAAGGCAATAAATTAACTAGAATAACATTTTATTATAGGAGTATTAAATAATATAACAAATTAACAAATTAGTAAATCAGTAAATAAAAATCAGATATCACATAACAAGCAAATTTGATATTGTGGTATCTCATATTCTAATATAGAAATAATATATATATATATATTTATATTTATATATTTATGTGTGTCTGCGAGAAAAAATGAACTGGATGGGCATTAATTATCATAAAAGAGTTGATTACGTGAATATATTGTATACATGAAAAAATCAAATTGACAGGCATTATTTATTTGAAAGGAATTAATGCACTTGCCAAATAATTGAAGAGGCAATAAATTAAATAGAATAATATTTTATAAGAGTATTAAATAATATAATAAATTAATAACTTAGAAAATTAGGATATAAAAATCAAATATGACATTGTGATATATCATATCTAGATATGGAAATAATGTGCGTGTGAATGCACGTGATATTTTGTATTTTATTACAATAATATTAAATTATATAATAAATCAATAAATTAATAAATCAGTTTATAAAAATTAAATATTATATTGTAACATAATATTGGGTTTTAAATCAAGTGCTCTTATGTGTTAATAGTTGAATAACACAATAAATTAAATAAAAAGATATTTTAATTAGGAGTGTTAAATAATTCTGTAAATCAATAAACCAAGAAATTAATAAATAAAAATTAAATATCATATCATAGAATACCGTCTTTTGATATAGAAATAAAGTGTGTGTATGTGTGTGTGTGTGTGAACATACAATTTGTAAATTTCATATATATGGAAAATTAATTATTTAAAAGTAATTGATTGTGCGAATTTATAGAATATATAGAAAAATGAAATTAATGGGAAATAATTATTAGAAAAATTAATTGCATGAATTTATTGTAGATATTCAAAAATAAAATAGATAGAAATTAATTATTTGAAATGAATTAATATGTGTGCCAAATAATTGAATAAGGTAATAAAATAAGTAAAATGATATTTTACAATAATAGTATTAAATAATATAATAAATCAATAACTTAGAAAATCAGGAAATAAATATCAAATATCACTTAAAATTCAATATGTTATCGTGATAACCATGTCCAGATATAGGAATTATGTGTGCGCGAAAGAAAAGAGAAGGAGATTAATTATTAACAAGAAATTAATTATATTAATTTACAGTATGTATATCTGTGTGTGTGTTGTCTGCGTAACATTATCTGTATCTCGATCTAGATCTCTAGAGTGCAGTTTACATGGCTTCCCATGGCGGAGAGGTGGCTATTGAGCTCCTCCCTCTCGTTCGAGTCTACAAAGACGGCACCATCGAGAGATTAGCAGACCCGCCATACGTCCCTCCATCGTCGACCCCGGACAAGGACACTGGCGTCTCCTCCAAAGACATCGTCATCTCCTCTAATGTCTCCGCCAGGCTCTTCCTCCCAAAAGCCACCAGCACCCAGAAGCTCCCTTTGTTGGTGTACTATCACGGTGGTGGCTTTTGCATCGAATCCGCCTTCTCAGCTGTGCACCACCTCTACCTCAACCGTCTCGCTGCTGCTTCCGGAGCTCTCGCCGTCTCCGTTGAGTACCGGAGAGCACCGGAGCACCCCCTCCCCACGGCGTACGATGACTGCTGGGAAGCTCTTCGCTGGGTGGCGGAACCAACCCAGAGAGACCCGTGGCTGGGCGAGCACGGCGACTTTGGTCGGATTTTCATTGGAGGCGACAGCGCCGGCGCCAACATTGTCCACAACATTTTGATGCGTGTAAGCATGGAGGAACTCCCCGGTGGACTGAAACTCGCCGGAGCTTTCCTCACCCACCCATACTTCTTCGGGTCTGAGCCGATCGGCTCAGAACCCAAACATGGTTTGGAACAATTACTGCCATACAGGTGAGAAAATATTAGACATATGCGTTGTACGCCATGTTACGTGCCAATTATGGACTATTACTTTATATGGTTGATAATGCATATGCATAACTGAAGTAATATGGCATGGAATTAATTATATAAGAAAAATTATATTAATTAGCTGACGTTCTTATGTTTGAAACAATTCTTGTGTTCATATATACATCTCATTACATGATTAAACTTCTTATGTATAACAAGTATAATATAATTTTTTTACAATACATATTTTTAATGTGACCTCTTTATATTTATATGTACATAATGGTTGATAAAGAGTCACATTTTTATTATGGCTGCTTAATATGTATATATGCATTACGGTTGATAAATAGTTATGTCTTGTTAAGAAATTTCCAATTGAAAAATCAAACATTTATATTATCTTGGCATGTTGTTAAATTTAGAAGGTTTACATGTGCGCAGTTTGGTTTGGTTTGCGTATTTTCCAAGCTGAGTTAAACATGTTATATTTGTAAAATTTGAATAGAATCAAATCAAACTAAATACGTTAATAGCAGTTTGGTTTGGTCTAATCTATTCAATTTTGTAGAAATTTTTAAAGGCAAAAAATTAAGTCATGCTCATTTAATAAGAGAAAAAATCTACACGAAAAATTAAGATACGCATTAAAAATTTAAAATAGTCGTTATCAACCCTTACAAGTATACTAACAGAAAAGTACAATTGAAAGATATAAATATCATAAAACAATATTTCTATCTAATTTGACAACAGAGACGTGTTAAAATTGGTTCAGTTTAATTTAATTATTTTTTTGGAAAAAATTAAAAATTAAACTGAATTGATCGGTTTGAATGATTGCTAAATCAAAATAAACATAAAGCAACTTCTTTCTATTTCAATCCATATAGTGGTGTTTGGGTCAATCCTATTGATGTTAACACCTCTAGTTAAATTGGTTTCTTCCAATATACTTGTAAACCAGATACTCCGACTATAGACATTCTTAATATGATCACTTTTTTCACCACATCGGACACCATTGCATTGCGTGATATGAGTCAGCTGACAGTTATACCTAAATATTGCCATACAGGATGTGGAACTTTGTGTACCCGGATGCGCCAGGTGGCGTTGACAACCCAATGTTAAATCCGGTGGCAGCCAATGCGCCAAGCCTAGTGAAGTTGGGCTGCCGGCGGTTATTCGTGGGCGTTGCCGGGGAGGATGAGATTATTGGGGACAGGGGAGTGTGGTATTACGAGTTGGTGAAGGACAGTGGTTGGGAAGGCGAGATCGAGCTATTCGAGTTGGAAGGAGAAGGACATGCCCATCAATATCTAAGGCCCCACACTGATAATGCCAAGAAGATGATTGACCGTTTGGCTTCCTTCATCAAACATTGACCACACACTGTTGGGGAAAGAGAGAAAATAAAAGAGCAAGTTCTTTTTTTCTTTTAAATAAACAATCAATTTGTGAAAAATTCAAGTGGGTTTTTCATAGAATAAAATAAAATAACATATAACAGAAAATGGATAGTCTATATATATATATATATATATATATAAAGTCAACTTCCAGTTTGAGCAAGGAAGTTCAAGGACTAATTTAATTGAGCCTTGAGCTTTTTTGGTGTGAACAGAGTTTTTTTCTCTTCTTTCTCTCTATATTGTTAACCTTTCTATACCTTTGCGTGTTTGGATTTATTTAATTTTTCATATTTTTCTACTTTTAGTTTCATTTTGTATGTTTTTTTAAAAAACACAAAACTAGCTAAAATCATGAAAATTTTATTATGTTTTTTAAATAATGTTTCATGATATCAAACCATAATGTCCATAATTGCAATTTGCATAATTGAATAAATTGTATCAGTTTTTATAAAATTAAAAGAATAAATAATGTAGCATGATCGGAACAGTGATTTGCAAGACTATCACGGCCATAAGTCAAAATTAGTGAATGCTATTCGGTGTGTCAATAGAATTTCTTTGCTACTATAAACATAATATAAGATTTTAGGGTGTCGAGTTTATATGTCAAAATACAAAATCTACAATTTTCCACACTATTCCATTGCTATTTCCCAACTTTCCACCGCTAAATTTAGGAACGGAAATTTTTTAGTCAGTAACATTTAGCAAAATTCCATTGGTTTTAGCAAGACAACATTTAGTCACAAAAACGTAGCTAATTTATTGGTAAATTAAGTGACAAAATATTTCTGTCACAAGGCTATCATTAATAATCCTAAGCTATTATCTGTCACTAATTTATCATTCACAAAACTTAGTTAGCTAGGAAAATGGTCTCTCATTAACCCATCACTATTTCCCTTACTAACTAAATCAAATTTTGCAACAGAATATTTTTGTCACGAGTATTGCAAATTAACATCTTGGCAACCAATATATAAATCACCACTAGTATATCGGTAATTTTTGTCTAATTAGCGAATTAAAATGCCTGTTGCTAATTTTATTTTGGATTAACTTCATTAACCTCCTAAATTACGCCGAAACATCACTTAAGCCTCCTATATGTGTGTGTGTGTGTGTGTGTGTGTGATTTACACCCTTAGATGTTAATGGGCCGTTATGTTAGCCAATTAAATTTAATTGACTTGAGCAAGACATGGTCAAGTTTGACATACATGGAGTAAGGAACAAAAATGCCCCTAAACTCTGTGTCACACAAATCTCTTCTCCTATCTCTCACAGAGATGCCACCTTAAAGTTCATGACTATCGCTCTACCACTGTTTTCAACGTTGCCAGCAAACCCAATAGTAGCACTGTCTTGTCTCCCTCCCCCTCTATCTAGTCTCTAACTAAACTCTTTCCTTATAGTGATAATTAATTGACTTTTAATTATCATAAAAAATAACGTGTTGCAAAAGCACAAATGAATAAATAAGAACCTTCAACATCCTCTTATATTGAATTATTACACTCACAAGAAGCAAATTCTTCCAAAAGATCTTTGTCGCAGCTTAGGACACTAGAATGTAGCTTATGATTGAGTTTTTTTAGTTTCTTTTTTTAATTTAAAATAAATTAGGTCTTTCACATGCGGCATCCCCATCTAACTTCAAACCTCAATAATAGTTGGATTCAAGTTTATGATTGCAGCTTACCTGTAATCTCAAAGGAAGATGATTCATATACAACCCTCAGAGATAGAAAGTTGATGGCGCCTTAAGGAGGGGAGCAACAAATAACCGATCGAAATTAATGATCCGTAATGCTACCCTAAAACTAATATGAAAGAAACTAAATAAATCAAAATAGTTTAACATCTAACAACAAACACTCTATCATTCCCAAATTCAGGTATCACAAAAGATAATGGTGATCTCTGTCAAAACCCTGTCTCAAACAGAAGAAAGTTGAGGAAAGAATGTCATAATAGAGAATGCTAAAATGTAAAGGTTGGTCGACCACCTTAGCACTGTGATTGATGTTAACAAGCCCACTTTAGCATCTAGGTAGCATAAGTAGACAAATATGGGTTGTTACAACTCAGATCCATCTACCTCTATTTTTTTTTTATTGGCATCAAAGGCGGCCCCCCACCCTGGCATAACTGTCACACTCCACCCCGTAACTCGAGCGAGGTGTGACAGTGCAATAGAATTTAGCAACCTCCGATACTCGGAATTCACCGGAAAAGACCAAACCTTATTCGACTATCATTCCTGCCGAGTTTGCTATATAACTCACATCCAATAGTCTAAATAATACATCATAAATTGACATAGTGTAAAAAGGAAATTTAAATCGTTATCATAACTAAAAACATAATTGTGCTACATAACTTCTCATTTCCAACACAGCATCTATGAACAAAACAGTTGTCTAACCTCCACTCAAAAACAACAACCCAAACTAGCTACTATTGACAAGAGTGGGGCCCAACCTTTCTAGGTGCAAGACGTGGATATGTTGGATGCCCATAAAATGGTTATAGGTCTCTACTGCTGAAACCTGAAAATAAATAAGTAGTAAGACTTATGTCCTGGTAAATGATCCTCCAACTAAAACTAGTAAAATAGGAATATGTTGTATAATACCATAAATAAATACAATTCATAATGCTGACATAGCTGTTATTGAATAACACATTGCGAGATAGAATTTTCACTATCATAATTTTAAAAATAAAGCTAATTCACCCGTTGAGCTTGCAGATTCAATCATAACAAAATATCTTATAATGACTAAGGATGGAAGTAAAAACATAACGGCTCCATAAATAAACATAAAATATGACGTGCACATAGACATAAACATAACATAATAAGAATCCACTGGGTGCTACTAGTCATGAAACTCGTTCCATAGGACACCACCCCTATGGACGAACACACATAACTTGTTGGTGTCGTAAGGCCCTACCGGACAAATAAATCATGTAGTACTGCCACACTAACGTTGCTACCCAGCGAATTATCCAGGTGAATTGTAAACATTCACATATATAACATACGGCATAAAAATGAGATTCCTGTTTTCATTTCACATAACAAAATAATCATAACATATAAATAAAAATATTTCAAAAATAAAACCTTTAATTTTGAAATAAAACATTTATTAGTAAGAAATTATTACTTTCACTATTTTAGGAAAATCCTGAATTTAGGAAAAAGATCACTCACCTCTGCTGATACTATGTATACCCAGACTCAATTTTATTGGCTTTACTGACTGGTCGATATATTTTTCTTAAAGTGTAACCACATACGCTATCAATAACATGTCAAAACTGTGTATGAATGCATGAATATGCTAGTGTATATATGAGATGTATTCCTAATTAAGCTGTTTTCTACCCTTTTTATTTAGGGTCAAAATTTTTTACTACATATGTATTCCGAAAATTCTCAAAATATTAATATATACTCATTGTGAAGTTAGGTATATTAGGGTATGTTCACGTTCACAAAAGTAGTTGTAGTTATTTTTTTATGAAAAATAATTTGTAGGTGGGTTGGTGAGTTTTTAGGTTGAGGCTTAAGCAATTTTAATGTTAGTTTGGCTTTACTTTATTTAATTACTTAATCATCTTCTTAATCTTATTTTAACTCTAAATTCCTCCTAATTTACAATTTCTAAGGTAAGCTAATTCCATGCTTAGTAAGCTTTAATCCATAGAAAAAATTCCAACTTTTCACTAAGATTTTTAATTTCTTAATTAAACCAATTTCTTGATTATATGGACATTGATTTACATAATTATATTAACCTTCACTTGCCCTTTTTAACTCCCATTTATTTCTCCGCAAAAATAGCCATGGGATAGCTCTTCAATTAACCTTAAAGTTGGTTCAGTTGATGAGACAAAACTTGATTGTGTAAGTTGGTGTAAGATTTTAATAGTTAAGCTAAATTAAATTACTCCTCCCTTTTTGGCTCGCTTCTGTTCTCTTTCCTCATTATCTACTTGGAAACCTCCCCTAACTCAGAGAATAACTTGCTAAAATAGAGACAGCATCACGACATAACCAAGAAATAAGAGAAATTTAAGAAAACTTACCAAACTTTCACCCAAGTTTTAAGCTTGGCTCCCGGTTCTCCCTAGCTTCTTCTCCTCACTTCTTTTGTTTCCTCCCTTTCTTTTTCTTTTCTTTGTATCTATTTGTTTTCTTCTTATTATACACACTCAAAAGCAAGCAAGTGGGGGCTTAAATAGCCCCATTTTGAGTTGGTCCAAAGAGGCAGTAGAAAATAATATTTTATTATTTATTATTTAGTTATTATTATTACTGTTTTAATTAACACTAGATGAAACACGGTTCTTGTGATTGGAAAGATATATATATATTATTCTATTTTATTCTTATTACTATTATTATTACTATTTAATAATGTAATCATATCAATTTGCCTTGCCCGATGTTCTTGATTCCTTCTCCTTTTCACTTTTTTTCTCTTTCTTGTTTTGTTCCTTTCTTCTTTCTTCTTTTTTTTTTTTTTTTTTTTTTGGTTTCACACATAAGAGAGGCTGGGAAGAAGATAAACATTATCTCCTCTATATAAGTAGGCAACTTGGCTGCCATATAGATTCTTTTATTTATATTTTGACCCATAAATTTTTAGTGATTAATTTAGGTCCTTTAGTTTTTAGGATTTGAATTTTAGGCCTATCTTTTTACTCCCTTTTCTAATATAGGTCTCAAAAAAATAATTTTATATTTTTACTAGCTTGAACTTTATTTTATTAAATCCTTAAAACCTTCACTTCTAATGTAATTTATCTATTAAACTCTCACTTTCTTTTCTATCAACTTTTTTTTTTTAAATAACTAATTGTCCTTCAATTAAACACAATAACCCATATCTAGAATTTTATGTATTTTATTCTCATTTTCATTAGATTATACATATAATTTCAATTTAAGA